TGCATACTACCCCTGCCTCCTCTGGCACACTTGGGCAATGCTTTGCGATCTTCGTTATCTTTTTAATATTTGCTTTTTTTTTGTACTTATTTAAATATAAGTAAAAAATTAAACTAAGTACAACTATTAAAAGGATGAAAAAATTTTGCAGATTCTTTTTTTCTATCCAAATCCATGTTTTTTGCTTATACTAAAAAAAAAAACAAAACAAAACAAAAAAAAAATATTAAAACAAAACACAATATAAAATTTACTATTTCTTTTATCCATAATGTTGAATGTGTTAAAATTCCTCAACAAGGAAAATCTCAAGTTGATGATAAAAATTGCCACAAATCATTAAGACAGAATGATTTATTATGACATGTCTCTAATTTGTATTTAGATTCATTGCATTTATTTTCCATTTTCCTAGTTGAATTGTTCACCTATATTGTATATAATCCAATATTGTACATAATTAGGTTACAATAAAATGCGTATTTTATATAAATACTACCTTATGAAAATTGAGATGTAGTAGAGTAATATAGATTCGGGGGAGGGGGGCACAAGATCACAGTTCTATCTGCCCCACATGTTTGTGTTGAAAATCAGAGAAATGGTCATTCATATGCAGTGTGTCTTGGTCAAATAGATCCATAAGTCTCCAGATCAAAGTGCAGCAAATGTCCTCCAACTTGAAGGATTACCTTGGTTACAGACATGTGGCTGTTCATTCCATTGGTATTGCCCTGGTCACTGACTTTGTTCTAGGAGGCCCTCCATCTAGTGAAGAGGTGTCATCACTGCACACAGTGCAAAATGAAATTCTTAAAGATTGGTATGGCAAGAGAGACAAACAAGTGTCGAAGCCATGAGAAAATGCTAAGTTTCAGAATATACAATAACATTCATGACAGAGTTCATAAAAGAATAGAGAATCCTTTTCCAAATACCTACAAATTTACCAATTCCAGGCTAAAAACAGACTAACATCAAACTTTCCACCATATATAAAATAAATAAAATCAAACTTGAGACAAAAAGCAAAAAACAGCTAAATTAATGAAAAGTGCTCAATACGATTTTCAAATAAAGAAAATGTAGAACAATTTATGGCAAAACCTATTTAGAAAACCAAACTTCCTGCTACTGCGATTTCTACCAATTAGGTTTCATCAGGCATGCCTGATGATGTCAAATTGGTAGAAACTGTGGTAGCAGGAATGTTGGTTTTCTAAGTATTGTATTATGTATATGATATAGAGAATGAGTGAAACTGGAGGTATGTGTGTATGGTTAATTCACAGTGATAATTTGATTTATAAATATAAGTTCTATTTCCCCAAAATAAAATATCATCAAGTTGTTTTTTCTTTATCTCTCAATGCTCATCATGTGTGGTTTTGGAGGAAGAGAGAAAAAAAGATAGAAACAAACAAATGTATAATATATGTGAGATAACAATATATATTTTTATATACCAAGAACAGTATTGGAGAAATTGTGTGACAAAATGTAAAAAGTTTACTTGTAACATGTTTTGTCCTTCAGGACTTCAGACTAAGTTTGTTATATTGGCATGACTACGCATGTGCACGAATTAGGGATGCTGGGAATTTTAGAATATTTTAGAAAAAAAAAAAAAATTCTAAAATCCCCAGCACCCCACGTTCGTGTGCATGTGTATTTGTACCGACATTACAAATTTAGTCTGATGAAGTCCTAAAGGACAAAATGCATCACAAGCAAACTTTCCCATTGTCATACAATTTCCCATATTTTATATATATGTATATACACACACACACACACACTGTATGCAAATGAGTTAGTGTTGGTGTGTATAATGTATATAATAACTGCAAATATTGTTTCAAATATACCGATGGTATTTACTAAAGATGGTTTCAAATATACCGATATAATTTTGAAAACTTTAAAAAAATAAAATTGAGGTGACATTTTTGTTTGTGTTCTGAAAACTGTTGCGTAATATTCTCCAAGACCCATGTAAAAAAAAAAAAATTATTTAAAAAAATAAATAAAAAAAGAATAGAAAGAAAGAAAGAGAGAGAGAGAGAGAGAAAGAAAAAAAAAAATTCCGAAATTGAATTTGGCCAAATCCTCTAAAGAGGAAATCAATGTCTGAACATGAGAAAGACAGAGTGCCATCTTTGAATTTTGAAAACAGGCTGAAGACTTGAATGGCTCATTTAGACGTGAGGGCGGGGGGGCTTTATAAAAAAGAAAATAAAAATAAAAAGACAGCAATATTTTAGCTTAAGCAAAGCAGCTGTAAGAAAAATCCTCTTTCATGTTTGCTTTGTTTATTTTTTTTTTTTTGTCTTCATCCTTGTCTCTCTTGTGTTATTTCCACATGGACAATGATGTAGATGTCGGAGGTAAAAAAAAAAAAAAAAAAAAAAAAAAGGAAGCTCCATCATCTGTCAAGTTCTTTTCCTTTCCATCACATTTATCTTAGGTAGGTGGCTGGTTGTGTGGAGTGGTCAGATGCTGTTGTTAAATGTCCATCTTAACAGCACCTCCACCCGATGACCTCTCTGAAGTCCACTGAGTAAGCAAGGAAGACAGATGAGAGATTTGGGGGGAGGGAGGTCTTCTATTTTCCTTGTCCCTTGAAGTTGACACTTTTCATAAAACTTCTTTCAGAAGAGATAAACTTTTTTTTTTTTTTTTCCTTCTTGAAATTTCCGAAATACCATAAAATAAACAATAAATAAAAATGCTTGGTCATTTGACATTTTTTCTTCATCTTTTCTTTTCTTTTTTTTCTTTCTTTATTTTTGTTGTGTTTTCAGAGCCTATCTCTTTTCAATTTTGGTTATAGGTGGAAGTGGATAGGGGACATGGAAGAAACACAGAGAAGAGTGAGGCAACTAAAAGCCAGAAACAAATAGAATAAAGTAGCAACTATGACACTTTCTCCTCACCCCCTACACCATTACTCTGCCCCACCCTCTGTTTTACACCCTCCACTCTGCCCAGAAGACTTTCTCTGTGGCACTGCAAGGCATCAAAAGATTTGAGGTTTGCTGTGCTTTTCAGGTAACCAAGTACCTTTTCTTTTTTTAGATATTAGACAGATATATACTTAGTCCAGCTTAAGAAGGTGGGGAGGGAATGAGGATAGGAAGACTGTGTTGCACCAATCTTCTAAGTAAAGGATGACTTGAAAAATCAGCATTCAAGAAAAAAAAAAAAAAAATTCTGGCCTTGGACATATTTTATCGCTATATATTATCTCTATAATCAAGATATAGACTATGTGTAAACTGAACCAATTTAATAACATGTGTTAAAAATATATAGATATATTTATATGGCAATAATAACTAATTTTTCTTTTTCTTGAAAATATATTAAACAATTACCATTTGTGGAGAAGAGAGAGTCCATTCCTGTGTATCTACCAGATTTTCAATTTTCCAGAATGTCCAGCCTTTCACGAGAGAGGTCGTATTTCAGTTCAGTAACTCATTACATGAAGAACAGAAATCAGGCTTTGACAATATTACGTGGGCAGTTAGGGGTTAGAGCTATTGATATATATCTCCAGACAATTATTGATCTTGTTTCTATGGATTACCTGGCTTAAATTGGGATGAAATTCTCTCCATTATTCGCAGGTTGACTGTTGTAAGTGTATATAACATTACGTGCATCAACCCTGCCCTACACCTTAACAGAAACCAACCCTGTCACCCTAAAAAAAAAAAAAAAAAAAAAAAATATTCATTTGGCAAGAAGGATAAAACAAAATTAATATGTGGTCCTTAGTATGTGGGTTAAACAGTATAATGCTGAGTTGAAAAGAACTGGAGATATTTACCTATCTCCAAGACAGAAAAATAAAATTCTGAAACCCTGTGTTAGTAACATAGGGCGATTCTTATTTCACAAGAATTATTGATAACAAAAATCCTTAAGAAACTGATGGTTACCAGAATAATACAATTTCATAATGGAATTGTTTTATCAGCAGAATTCTTGATTTTTAAATATGGGCTGCGAGAAATGGTTTTTAAATTGGTCTTTCGTGACTCCCAGCCTAGAAGCAGCAGGTTTCTTTATCATACAGGTATTTTCGATCTTAATGATGGCCAGAAAAATGACGAATGATCTTTACCTTGATTTGTTTCTTTCCACAGAAACTAGTCCAGCTTTTAGGATAGGACATCTAGATAGCAGGTGCAACAGTTTAAAAAAAAAAAAAAAAAAAAATCTACTGGGGTTAACGAAAGATGGTATCAGCAGTAACAAATGTAGCTAGACATTATGTTTATGTCAATGAAGAACAAAATAACAAAGGCTTGCATTAACAAGACAAAGCAGTCTTCATGATGATGCATAAGGGTTTTAAATGACTTGAATCTCATCAGAATTGAAACCATTAAGAGAAGGGGGTGGGGAGAGAACCTATGACATTTGTATCCACATCAATTTTAATGATCATTATCTTTAATAGACATGGCTTTGTGCACCTCAAATTTTAAAGACAAAAAAAAAAAACTTGCCTAACAGACACCAATTTTTTCCCCTGTTTTCATTTTCATCCTTTTTTTTTAAAAAAAAAAAAAAAAAAAAGAAAAGAAAAAGGTTTCAGTCAAGAGGCCAGAGAAAGAAAGATGAACTCATGCTAAGCAGGCAGCTCAATCTTTTCTCAGCCAGTGTGTTTACTCTTTTCCAGATAGATACTATTACTAACATCTTTACCACTCAAGTCCTAGCCTCTTACCTCGAAGATGATAAGTTTAAAATAAACATAAGGATAGGGTGGGGGTTATTTTATGTTCCACCTGTATACACCTTTTTTTCTTATTTAAAAAAAAAAAAAACACTTGAGTGTGAGTATACATTTTGTTTTCTCATTTTTTTTTTTAACCATGTGAGTGAAGGATTGAGTGCAAGTGTGAGTGAAGGAGTGAGTGTAAAAAGCACACTTGGCAACCATGCTCAAGTGGTCTTCAGCATCCTCTGTAGAGTGGGACACTTACTGCCTTCACTATCGGATGACAAAACTGGTGCCACTGCCATCTCAGTGCTCTCTTCACAAGACGACACAGCCTCACCCTGCCGGGTTTCTTCCTCACCCAAAGGGCTCGAGTTCGTTGCTGACAAGCAGTCGTTTGACACTATTGAGGCGCTCTTGGACTGTGTACTCAGGACAGAGGAATCCTCAACAGTGGTGCTAGCATCGGCACCATTGCTTGGAGTTGATATGTCGTTACACACAGAATTAGTTTTGGGACTAGCAGTGACACTGTATGGTAATGGAGAAGAACTTCGAGGAACTTTAGCAGCGATGCTGTTGAATTCACCAGGTGAATCGTTAGCTCTTTTATGATTGGAACAAGCAGGTTTTTGGTCTTTGGGGCTAGTAGCAGTTGGAGGATTCTGAGGTGATGCAGATTTGGGCGATGAGCAGCATGAACTCTGGGAACATTTAAAACCAGAGCAGGCCGAACTGTCCCCAGATGAATGGTTAAGATGGCTACAAGAGTCTGTATTTGAACAGACAACTTTGGCAGAGTGCTTACAAAAATGTCTCTTATCAGTTGAAGACTTTGAACATGATTCTTCTGGACTAGGGCTTCCAAGTTTCTTCACTTCTTCCTTGGCAATTCTGCAGAGTTCCAATTCATTACGGACAATCCATTTGTTCTTGCCGACAGAAATAATCTCGAGTTCATTATCTCCGAAAATGAGGAAGTGCCTCTCGTACGGTGTCTTCAGTGTTGGCACGGTGGCTTTTGACTGGCTAACATCCTGTTTTTCCCCGGACACAGTTGCAAGTGATGCTGGCGGTGGTGTTGGGGTACTAGTCACCACACTAACAGAACGAGAAGAGAGCGGCGTTTTGACTTCGTCAAGAGACTCGTCCAACACTGGGGTGTTACGTCTTACCTCGGTTAATTTTTCAGATGCTTTAGAGGATTTACGATGAGGACTAGGTACTGCAGACTCCTTGCAAGCTGATGCCGACAGATCAAGGGGAGTGGCAGCACCAGAACTGTCAAGACTTGGACTACATGCAGAGAAATCGACAGGTGTCTTTATTGAGGGCAAACCATTTGGGTAGAAGCAGACAGCAGAAGCCGCGGGACTCATACACGAGGGTGAAATGGTCACATTACGGCTAGGGCGAGTCTGACCCAAGCCACGGTCAGGTAGACTGTAGTCATAGTAGACGGCACCAAACTTGTCAAAACCAATAGGCATTGCAGATGACATTTTTGACGGACCTGCTACATTTGCAGCTCGGTTAGCACCAGACAAAGGCTCGGGTGACTTTATCGAGCCGGATGCAGAGCCTTTGCTTGACGATGAACGTCCATGGTCAGAATTCGAGACTGGTTTTGCAGAAACTGCACCCCGAAGTGGAGAGTTTGTATTACTTCTGGTGCCGAGGACATTCTCGGCGCTACTGGAAGAATTTGGTATCTCAGAATTGGCAATCGACACGCCTTTGTGTGTCAAAGAGTGAGAGATCAGTACAGACGGATTTCCAGACGTGGAAGCCGTAGGCATGTCGCTTTTCTTGCTCAAAGAGCTTACAGAACTGGAGTCGGACTTATCGCAAAGACCAGAATTTTTTTCGGTAACTGAAGACAGAGAGGTTGGCAGTGTGCTCTGTACCGATGAATACGTGGCTGATGCCTGATTGAACAGGTGGGTGATGACGTCCTGCAACCTCTCCGACTTGGTGGATAGCGACGGCGTGCTCTTGTGCGTGGTTTCAACACTTCCACCTTTAGAGTTGCAAGAGTCCGAGGCATGGTGGCTAGTGGAGGTGTTGTCAGAAACGCCATCTGAAGACTTTGGTCTCCGTTGGGAACTCGTATGCATTGTCAAACTAGGACTGGTGATGGGCTTATTGTCGCCATTCTTTAGATCAGCCTGTGAATGCACACTATTGTTGTAAATTGATGAAGAAGCAGAATGGGGACTGATCACATTGTAAAATGCAGACTGTGCCATTGAGGCTGCAGTTGAGAGAGTTTCCGCAGAAAGCTGGGTTGGTAATTGGCCAATGTAGTAAGCTCTCTGAAGGATTGATTCTTCAATTTCATCACAGCCAGTTAACTGCAAAATAGAAAAAAAAAAAAAAACCTATTCAGAATAGCAATAGACATAATGACAAAGGTTTATTTATATAAGAGGGCATTGATGTCAACAGCGAACATCGACAGTCTGTTTCATGCTTCATAGGTGTTAGTGCGATTATTTATGTGTGCTGATCAATGGTGCCTACCCAATAAATGTAAAGATAATATAATAGACTTCACTACCCATAATGCACCACTGATAAGCATATATAAATAGTTGAACCAACAAGAATAGACTGAAGATTGCGTTCAAGCATGAAACAGACTGTCACAACTCAACACTGACCCCAGTGTCCATTTTTATATTTATATATGCTCTATCCCTGATATCAAGCAATTTTACCCATAAATATAGGATAGCTTAAAACTATACTTTTATCATATATATATATATATATATAGGCAAATATATGGATATAGATCCGACAATATGAAGAAAAATATACTGAAAAAACAAACAAAAATCCTAATATGCGATTATGCTGTTTTAAGAGAGGGAGAGAGAGTGTGTATGTATTTAGGCAGCAATACCTCTTTTATAGATGTTACATTAAAGACAAATGACAAGGTATAATGTATAATTTTTTTTTTTTTTATTTCATAATTTTCTTGCGTTTATATGAGTGTTTTCTTTTCTGGACACAAAGTTTGTAAAAACTGTCCCAATGTCCTGCATATCCAAGTGCTTTTGGTTATTCTTTTAGCCATTATCAAGGACAATTTTGGGGGGGATTTTTCAACTAAGTATGTTAGTTTTTTATGTATATGTCTAAAGTTATAGGATTGTTTTATTTTTCAAACATGGTCCACACATTGTGGCCATGTTCATAGTTAATATTATTGGGTGTTGGCTTCTCTCTCTCTATATATATATATATATATATATATATATATATATATATATATATATATATATATATATGAGGCCATTATACTAGTATGTTTCAGATGGAGTCTGGTAGGGTTTTGTGTGTGTTTAAATGAGTCCTAATGGAGCTATGGTTGAGTAGGTGTAACCTAAGTCATCTAGATAGTAGTGTGACCAATGTAATTATTTATTAGTTTGGTTTTACCAGAATATTTAGTTCTTTAAAGGACATTTGAACTCGTAAATAAGGTTCGTTCTTTGTAGCTTTGATTTTGAAGGTGTATTGTTCTTTTGGTGGATAATGTTAAGTGTTTTAAATTTTTTAGAATAGATAATTAATTTTCTTGTTCAGGTTGACTGGGATTATGTATTTCTTTATGATATTTCTAAAAAAATTTGTCTTGCTTATAGTTAACAAGTACTTGGCTTTGGTAGAAGATGTTAATGTTACCGTTTTTATCTGTATGTTCAGTATTGTTATTAGTTACTTTAGAAAGAAATAGACGATGAAGTAGTTAGGAAAATCATTGTGAACTAGTGTCTGTTTCACATTATTGAGTTCTTCAAAGAAAAGTAGACGAGAGGATGAATTCTCATGTGCTCTCTCCCTCTCTCTCTCTATATATATATATATATATATATATATATATATATATAACAATATGATTAGATAATGAACAAATAGGAAATTATCATTCTGTTGGATACCAATCTATATTTGATCCTAAGTCATATATATGGCAGATTTTGAAAATGTGTGCCTCTTTGTTGGGGAAGGCAATGTCTGATCTGACATGATTTAGACAGCTCGGCCACAGAGACCATTACAGCACAGTAAGGTTCTATTTATCCTTTTATGGAACACATATCTTCTCATTCAGATTTTCTTAAATATCCATATCCACTTGGTTTCATATTCGAAACAAAGTCATTTTTTAAAGAAAAAAAGCATTTAATTTTGATCAAATATTTTTATTAATTCAAAAGTTTTATATATATTTATTTTGACAGCATATTTTTAATACAAAAACATTTAAATTAAAACTCATGTCCCTGGTCTTACAGAGTAGCTGCCTTACTAACTAAGCCACAAAATGACCAACCAATTACTGAAATTTGAATCTAGCCTGATAAGCCATCATCCTCTTTAATCACATTTTTTTTAATCAATTCACTCCAAGCAAAGTGACAGAATCACTAAGGCGTAAGGTGTTACTGGGAGTGAAAGAAAATGAGAAGACTTTAGAAGGAACCAGAAACCCAATCTTAAACAGAAAAGAAGGGATAAACTTCTACTCCTGTTCAAAAGACCAGGGAGGAGAGTGAACCAGATGATAGACAAACCTATCTGCTCCTTTTATACTAGTAGTATTAGTTGTAAGATTATTCAAATTTCTTAGATGAAGCAATGTCAGTTTACGTTCATCTTAATTTCAGCTGCTTTTTATCACAACTCCCAGATTATCATTCATCAATTATTAGTATGCACAATGAATTCAAAATAAATGACTGAGTTATACTAATGATTAGAGAATGTATGTTTACTTAGAAGAGGCAATAAAAAGCAGATGAAAAAAAAAATTGTTTATAAGTTCAGATATAAACTTTCAAAAATTATTTAGAATTTCAGTATCTCAGATATAAAACGCAAATTACAGAAAAAAAAAGAAAGAAATAAAATTCCAATCTTGTCACCTCCTCTTCCGTGATATGAGCGAAGCTCTCAAGATTTCGTCGATGCAAAATTGCTTTATCTCGGATAATTCGGTTGATTGAACTGATGCTTGGTATATTTTTCTCAGAGCAAACCCCATCTTCGAGTAATCTGCAAAAGAAAACAAATGTATATTTGAGAAAAGATTAACTTACAATAACAAAGTCTTTCAATCCTTAATATTAAAGAGGTCAATCCTGTCTCATCTGTCTCGTCCTCCCAAGTTAAATACTATCCGGGGGGTGGAGAAGTTGGGTGGGTGCTGGGAAATACTTTGTGATGTTATCTCCTTCAGCTTCTGTGGATGTGTGGGTGGTGTAATCGATAGTGGCTCAGAATGTTAAATCAGAGAGCTGAGTACAAATTCCAGTCTGGTATGTTACATTCACTTATGTTCAAATACCCTTGGGTAGTGGATGAAGCCATCTCTTCCACTCAGCCATTGATTAAATAGTAGGACATGTGTCTGGAGAAATAGTTATTCTCAAAAAATTAATGCAATATTCATTCATAACAAAAAAAAAAAAAAAAAAAGAAAAAAAAAAAATTCTTACAACCTTAAATGACTCACTAACATTTGAGAAACACAGTTAAAAACAAAAACAAATTCCGCCTGACCCCCCCACCAAAAAAAAACCTTACACAGAAGCTAAGTAAGAAACAAATTTTGGTTGGTTGATTTTGTTTAGCAGCATATTGGCCTCTATGGGTTATTTAATGCCAAAATCTAAATATTTTGTACATAATTTTATACTATCAAGGTAAAGGTGTTTTATATATATATATATATATATATATATATATATATATATATATATATATAATATTTATATATATTTAAATATATATGAAAATTATGAATTTAATCAATAGGAAAACTGGTAATTGCTGACTGGTAATTGCGTTCAGTCAATGTGGACTTTTTCGTATTTTGCTTTGATAAAGTCCACATTGACTAAACGTCAGCAATTACCAGTTTTCCTATTGTCATTTTATTCATAAATATATATATATATATATATATATATATATATATATATATATATATATATATTAATTAATTAACAAATATTTAGATACATTATTAAAAAATTTATCATTTACCATTTTATAAAGAAATGTAGAAAAAAAAAATCTTATTCCAAAATTTTTTAAAATGACAAAATTATTAAAATATGTGAAGCATCTACAATGCAATAAGTTTTAAAACATTGACTAATTGCTAATTTTACCTAAATTCACTATCTCGGCAATGTTTATTGTTTTAAAAAGCAATGATTAGAATGTTAACAAAAACCCCAAAATATGAAACTGAGCTCATACATTCTTTGTTCTTGAGAATTTACAACAAAAATATAACACATTATTTATTAGAGTGTTTATTTATAAAATTAATTTTATATTTACATGAAAAATAATTTTTTTTAAATAAAAAGATTTTTCACATTTATTTGTAAATATATAATAAATCTCATAAAAAGGTAAATCTTTTTATAATCTTGTAAACAGACATTTCCAAGAGAGTGAATGTAGTTAAAATAGCAGTGTCAATGGAAAAACTACCCTATGGAAACATCATATTTTAGTGGGCACAAACATTCATATTTGCCAAAATATGAATTTGGTTTCAAACATGACAAACAACACAAGTACAGAATAGAAGGGTAGGTTTGAATAAAATTTGTCTTCAGAACAAAAAAAAAAACAGGGAGAAAAGAGGGAGAATGAAACAAACAGGTCATCAGAAAATAAAAATAAACAGGGGGTCTGGAATAACAGTGGGTCAGTTGGGTGTGCGTGGAAGACTTTAGTTAAATAGTCAACCAGGTCTGTATCTTCCAGATGCCAGAGTAAATATTTGGACTTTTCTTGCAATTAATAAAGTCAGAAGGAAACACTTTTCTTTACTGCTGCATTTCATCTTCTGATAGACTTTATCAAGGCAAATGTAAAGATTTGTAATGCGTATTCATAAACAGAAGTAACAATTGTCATTACCTCTTTAAAATTTTTAAATTTCAGAATGTTCATAAATTTTCTTCAGGCTAACTATGAAAGTCAAGGTAATCTATGGAGGATGGTAAGTAATATAATACCTAATAGACAAAAATTAATAAATGTTATTCAATTTTTTTTTTTATTAATGCAATTATTATTTTAATTTGATAAATTATTTATGTATTTATTTATTTTAAATAACAGATTTTCTTTTAATTTTTAAAAAAATTTTTATGGTTATGTATATTGGCCTAGGAAAGTGTATATCTTTTATGTAAGAAGATATCTGAAAAAATTTGGGTGCCAATTTACATTTTGGCAAGATTCAATAGTGGCACTCTCAAGAACTTTCTAAGTTACTTACTTTCTCTTTTAATAAGTATGGTATTCTTTAGATCAAAGTTGTGGTTAAATGTATTTCTATTTATAATTAATGCATTTGATAAATTGTTATGTATAAGATCCTTTTTGTGTTCATAGATACATTTTTTTTTTTGTTTTTTTTTTTAAATTTCTGCAAGTTTCCTCAATGTAATATGAGAAGCAGTTGTGGCTGTTTATTTTATATATACCTGCTCTGGAATTATTATTCTCTGTTATGCCTGAAGAAAATGGTAGGTTTTAATATTCTAAAGCAATCCTGTAGGTGGGATGCATCATGCTGGGAAAGCAGTTCATCTAAGAGGAGGAAATCTTTGAATTCCTTGAATTGATTGGTTATAAATGTGCTGTGAAATATTAGGTCACAGTATGTACCAAATCATGGGCTGGGCAATGATTGTAACTGATCCTTTGACAGCTATCCTTGCTGCTGGATCCTGGAGGTTAATGTATGGAGGATGGGTCTGGACTTGTGAAAGACATTTACTCAGACACATGCTGTTTCTTATAAAGTGGGTGGATGTGCACGTGGCGTGATGGATAGCAACTCGGAATGAGAAATCAAGTTCAAATTCCAATCCAGTTTGTTACATTCACTTATGTGCAAATACCCTTGGAAAAAGTATGAACACATCTTTTCTCTGCCCCACGCTATGGGTTAAATAGTAGAACTTGAATCTGGAAAATCATTGTTATCTCAAGAAAAAAAAACAAATAAAAAAAATTTCATTCAATGTTGACTTGCAAAGAAATAAAAGAATTATTCTTACAATCAAAAAAATATGTTTTGGCTCTAAATAACCCACAAAGGGTTGATAAACCATAACAAACAAATTAACCAATTTCTTGTAAAGAACTATCATCATTTGGGATGGATAACACTGAAATTTTTGTATTGCTATATTTTTTTTTCATTCAACTTGAAATTCATTAAAATGTTAATTCAAATTTACTCCTTGTGTATATTTGATAGGTGTGTAATAAGTGGGCAAGTCAATTGATTAAAATGTTTTGATCACAAGATCAAGGTTTGAATCTGGTCATGGCCAATATGCCAAGGAGAGAAGATTCCAGCATGTAGTACCATTGGGAAGTGACTGAAATGGAACCAAGGGTTGACCCAAACTGTTCAGAAGCTATCAATGGTTGTGCTAGCATGAAGTCACAAGTCATCGTGACCGAGGGTTTGAAGGTATCGGACTTGTTCAACTACAGACAGATTATACACTTTCTCCCAGGATTGGAGCTAGTGGTTCCATGAGCAATGGGAAAAAAATGTGCTTGAGCATACATCTGTAACAGGGATTAGTTAGCCACTCCAGCAGAGAGGTGGACATGAAAATGAGAAAAAGCCATTATATATATATATATATATATATATATATATGTGTGTGTGTGTGTGTGTGTGTGTGTGTGTGTGTCTAAAAATGAATGCTGAGGTCAACACTGAGTTGCAACAGCTTGTTTCATACTTGAACACAATCTTCAGGCCATCAATATATTGAGCATGCCTTAAACTAGGGCCAGCCCACAAATTATTTTTGTCCAACCCATCAGCTTAACTGTAGTAAGGAATTTGCATTATAATGTTGATTGTGTCAGTTATTATCCTCTTATTACTGTAGTAAAGTAAGGAACCTTTTTTAAATAATATGACATTAACATTGTTATTTTTTAAACTTCCAGACCAAGACCATCTCCTGGATGGAACGGTCTGAGTTCAAGACAATTTATTGTAGTACATTTGATATCACGGCCCTCCCTTGAGACACTGTATTGCTGTCTGTCCGTTCTCTCCAAAAGCATGCCGCCTTTTCATCATTATATATGAAACTGTCTGGAAGCTTTTGATGGGCATGTTAGCACAAAGTCACAAGTCAGTGTGACCGAGAGTCAGCGTATTGGCTTTGATCATTTAATGATTACAGCAGATTATGCAATCTCTCTCTTTCTCTCTCTCTGAGGGACTGTAGCCCAGGTCTGCACAGCATAGTTGCAGTATAAGCCCCTGATTAGCTCTGTGGGTATTCAAGAAACACAAATCTGCCTGAGCAAACACCTGCAACAGGGAGTGGCTAGCTGTCCTAGCAGATGGACAATCATGCTGCCAATCATTATAAAGAACTGGATTAGATGTTTTTTTTTTTTATATTTTTATTAACTGATCAAGCCATGTCTCATACTATTGCTGATAACTCAACCAAATAGCAAACAAGACCTAATTACAGAAACCCTGGCAACCTGCAGATATTCAAATGATTATTTAATTGCCTGCAGAGCCTCTTTCATGCCCGACACAATATCTCATCAAGAAGTGTAGAGAACTTACTTTTGTCTTATTTCCCAGGCAAACATTTGCGGGTTTTCCAATTTGTATTGACGGACTTTGTTGACCACATCAGGTGTGGTCACTTTAGGTTTGCTGCCACCGATCTGACCGGGATTGATGCTACCAGTCTTCCGGTATCTGTAGAAAGAAAAACAAGAGTTCAATGATCAATCAATCAGTAACAAATCCATGAATTAATAATTGTTTACAGATTCAATCTGTCAGTTTCACACAAGCATTGTCAATCAATAAGTTATTTAGACTACTTGTTTCAGTGTTTGTTTGTTTTTTTTTTTGTTGTTATTATTATTAACCCATTTATACATGACAGCAATCGAGTTGGGGATGGACTTAGTCAGCTCTAGCCACCAAGCTTAATACATTAGACTATAATATTTTCTATTATAGTGATGGGTTCCAATCTCTTTCTTATGTTACAAAAATAGACTAAGATACAGGGTGCGATGGGTAAATTGTCGCCATTTTTAATTTTGAGCCTGTGCATCATTTGTTTTTGATTTTGTTGATGGTATACTAGGATCAGTTGGGCACTCTCCATGAGAAAAAGAGCACCAAGACACAATTCACTCCACCAGAAATTTGGAAACAGCCTGCTGTACTGCTTGGCAATTGTGCCAGAAGCTCTATACGAACATTTCAGAAGATTCGGAAAGAGTTTGATGAGGTTTACGAAGGTACGGCTGTTTGGAAAACACTACTCTGATAACTCTGATATGAACTCCCGAATTTATTGGTGAAGGCCTCAGACTCAACATGAAAGCCTACACAAATGTCTTGAGGAGGTAATGCTGCTCTAGGTCAAGAGGGTGGCTGCTGGAAGACCCCATGTCTGGCAACAGGACTCTGCACCATGCCACACAAGCAGAAGAACCCAGTCATGGTGTCAGACAATTTCTGCGACCACATCACCCCTTACATCTGACCACCTAACTCCCCAGACTGCAACCCCCTTGATTATTATATGTCAGGTGCAGTTGAGTTGACCAACAAAACTCCTTGTAACACCAAAGATGAACTGAAGGCAAGGATTATGGCAGCATTCACCAACATAGGAGACAGTCCAGAAGAGTTGCAGGAGATTCTGAAGTTGTCTGGAGGTTGTGGTTGAAGCCAATGGCGATTTTATTGAATAAAGTTAGCTTTTAGTATTTCAAGATATTTCGGGGGTAATATTTCCTGGGAGAAAGTGTATAATCTGTCTGTAGTTGAACAAGTCTGATACCTTCAAACCCTCAGTCACGATGACTTGTGACTTCATGCTAGCACAACCATTGACAACTTCTTGTGCGGTATTTCGGGGGTAATATGACAATTTATCTATTGCACCTTGTATTGGGCTTGGTGCTTAGATTAAGACCGGTTTTAACCATTTCTACTGATCCATTCTTTGTTCTTCCTAATACAGACAAAGCATATGACATTCAAACACTAGCCCCCTAGTTGATGTCAAATTTTCTTTTTGAAAAATGTCAAAAAAAAAAAAAAAAAAAAAAAGAAGCACAAATGGTGGCACTAGATTGGCAATTAGGTCTCATTGTTTTATTGTTGAATCAGCTTCATGTAACCATAAGTTCTATTTTAATAGTTTCTTGCCTTCCCGACACCTAAAATCTTTAAAATATAAATGTAATGTCAATCACTATCTTCTGTTATCCTGATAACAGCTCTTTTATTACTTTTTCTCCTCTTTCACTCCCAGTAACTTCTTGTGCGATGGTAGCTTTATCACCTGGCTTGGGATGAAAAAGTTTAAAACAAACCGCTGCAGCTGATTCTGTATTCTAAATACAAAGTTTGTTTTCTAATGTAAAGAAAATGCACATAGCACAACAGTTATCACAGAAAGTAAGCTCAGCATGCTGTGTTCAAATCCCAGCGTGGTCATAGCGTTCACTTTTGCACAAATTGCTTTGAGAAAGGTATAAGTCTATTTATTCTCTCCGCATAGCAGGTAAACTGGGCTCTCTAACCTTGATAGATAACCAGCCTAGAAGAAGGACAACTGAATTTAAAACTGGATGAGTGTGGGGATTAGCAATTCCACGCTATAGAAAACTTACTATGGAACCACAGGAATAACACCTATATTCCAGGTTTCGGGAAGTCTACAGTGTTAACATGCAAGATAACACCGTTATATTCTTTTGGTTATCATTTTGATTAAATATTTCCATTATTCCATCAATTATATGTTCTATTATTTTACTTGTTAGTTTTAACATTTCTTTCGGCTTACAGCTTCTTTGGCTTTCATTTATCAAAGAGATTATCAAAGCAAAATAAAGGCAAAAGTCCCCCCAATTTCCTTTCAACCAAAAATAAACAGAAACTCAAAAAGTATTATCAGTAATATCATTTGACACATTGGGGTGCAGAAAAATTATTGGTCAGATCCATTTCCCCAGATCTGCACAAAGGGCCAGATTTTTGAGAGAAGGGCTTTCAATAAATCTTCTATAAACAGAAACACATATACATACATGCACATGTGGTAAAAAGCCTCCTTGCTACAGAAACTGCAATAAAACATTGTGAAACTGTAACCTTATACTCAAAATGGAGAAAGGAGGACTGGTTTAATTTAAACAACTAAATCTTTTTGGTAACTGCCTGCCTTGTGAAACCGACACCCAAGAGGCTGCTTACCCAATCACTACAATCTAACCTGTTTAATTCTAGGGTTAATCATTATCTTCCACACATATCCGCAGAAGCTGTATCTCTTATTCTTTAACTACCTTGAGTGGCCCCCGGGCCTTGTACAAGTGAAAAAAAAAAAAAAAAAAAAAAAATGGTTTTATCACATCAATGTAAACATCATGTTGCTTGAAATGCAGTAGATGAAAACATTTCCCATAATATGACAGACCACATCTTTTTTACCGCTATAATTTTTTTTTTTTTTTTGCAAAATACTGATGGGTGTTGAAATCCTTACAGTATTGAGCTAACATTTTTTTGTTGCAATTTGCAAACCGATCAATGAAATTTTAATAAGCTGATTTGTTTGGAAAAATACTTTGACAAAAAACTTACTTTACAGTTTAATAATTTCTTTATAGGATTTCACGGTAAACAATATTTTTTTTTTAAATTTATTTTTTTCCTTTTTAATAACAGCAAAGATTAAATTCTTAGGCTTTCTTACTTAGGCATGCATCATACAACTGGCCATGCATAAACATGTCTTTCTGAAGCCAAATCCAAACTTTTTTGTTTATAGTTCTTGCAAATGCAGGATGAACTAGAAACTCAATTCTTGTATATAAAAACTTAAAAGATATGCACCCCCCCAAAAAAAAAAACAAACAATATTGCATTTTTATTAAATAAGTATTTGTTATTTTAATCATTAAATTGTTTTTAAAATAGTGGGAGTGTTTTCTATGTTAAATAATAAAACTTAATTTTTCCCCCAAAAATTAATGAAAATTTATTGCACTAAAAACTATGTGCATGAGTAAAACCAACTTTACTTGGTAGCTCTTTACCAGTTTACACTTCTCTCCAAAATTTGGTTTTTTAGAGGGTGTGATGGATGGATGGACTAACAGAAGTCAAAGAATTTTATATATAGATAGATAGAAGAAATTCACACTGTGTTTAAATTCATGCTGGCTTGATTTACTGATTTTCTGTTAGGCTTATATAAGCAAATTCCTTTGATTTTCTTACTCTTCAAAAATGTTCTTTTCCTTCAACCTTATCCTAGAGGGCATCATGTAATTCCATCTCCTAATGCAGTCTGCAATAGCAGACTTTTCTGCGCCGTCTGAGAAAGGCCAATAAGAATGGATCAGCAAAAACATTGTGCTAACAACAAAAAAACAGTGAATTTAACAGTCTGAATAACACTTAGAAAGAATTTGTTCCAATCAAGCATGTGTCATTCTTGGTGAAATTCTTTGTTTTTCAAGTCAAAATTCATGAAAATACAAAATTGTCAAAGAAAAAAAAATAGATAAAAACAAAAAGAAAAAAAGAGGAATTACACAAGGCATTTCTTGGTAAAAAAAAAAATAAACAGTAAGTAATGGCAGCTGACAGAGTTGCATATTTCCTGGCTATGGTAGGAGAGGTTTGTGTTCAACTTTAATCTGCAAAAATTTAAATGCAGTGTCAGTCACTATGTACTGTCCTCCTGATTATACTTTTCTCTTCCTGCTTATTAATGTTTCTGTTCCTAATTCTTCCATACCAAGTAATCCATTATGTTTTAGTTTTAGTGGATTTATTACCTTGAATGGGGTGATATGGATTTAAGAAAAAAAAAAAAAAAAAAAAGTTCAGCTAAAATTCAGGATGTTTACAAATACTAAAAGAATAGTGAAATATTTTTCCCAAGCTCCTTTTCAGTTGAATATTTTTTTTTTTTTTGCTTTTAATCATTTCACCCCAAGCAATGCAATAAAGCCACTAAGACGGCTACTGAATGCAAAAGAATATCAGCAAAAGAAAAACACTATTAAGGAGAGAAAACAGCAAAAGAACAAGAATTAAGACAGAAGATAACGACTGACATTAAAGTTAAATTTTTGAAGATCAAAGTTGACTAGAAAGCAAGAGGCCGGAAGAGAGTTCTATGAGTGAGAAGTGTGAGAGAAGAAATTGTTAGCATAGAACTTACAGTTACACTTAGCCATTTCAACTTTAAAATGATGAAATGTTTTTGCCAATCTAGTACTGTGTGTAAAATTCATAAAGTCTAGGTACCAGAGAGGAAAGTTTATCAGAACAATTACCAAGAAAGTATTTATAGAAAAGGCACAGGGAAGCCACTTTACAGCGGTGAGAAAGTGACTGAAGCTGAAATGCCAGATCAGGATCAATAAAATTGCAGATTCTTTTTGGGATTTTGCCAGGAATCTCTAAATACATAGCAGAAGAACCAATTCAATGTGTGGGGGAATGTAGACTGGCAAAAAGATTCTAAAGAGCAAGATAAGTTTTTATTTAAAATAAAAATAGAATAAAAAGATATACACATGCACACAAAGACCGACTCCATTATGGAAGTTCCTTCTATGGATGAAATGTGTCAGGTGAGAGTTATTTTTTTTGTTTTTGAATGTTGTCGTTCAACGAGCCACTGTGATATCTCATTTTTTTATGTCACA